GTGGTAATCGGTGGTTTGAGCGCCTTAACACCTTATGACGAGCGCCTGCAATTCGTTCTAAAAAAACAATATCAGATTTATAGAAATGTATGACAAAGCTCCAACGGTTTTGAAGAATAAGAAAAAATTCACCTTCTTATCGATTTCACCTTTTCATTTATTCCTATGGGTTCGTTTTGTCTACAGTGCGAGCATATTATCTACTTCCTACCAGAAGTTAAATCTGTGTAAATGTGCCTAATGAATTCGGTAATCATAGGGTAGGTGGTTGGGGGGGGGGTGGCTGTTAGTTTCGGATCAAACAAGATTTTAGTTTGTTTCCTTCTTGGTTCTTCTCGCTCACACAGGTTTTCAAAGCACCAAATATCTCACGACAGGAAAAACATGAATTTAACTAAGCTTGATCATTTCCCAAATTTATTATTATTATTATTGCAATCTTACACATAATTTTGAGGAAATAGAATAATCCTGAGGAACTTTTAATATCCTAACATCAGTTTGCAACAACTATAATTGATTATTGTTCAGTTATCAAATATCCTCCGATGCGTACCACTTCCATGCAACCAGTTACCGAGAGATGATAAACGACCCATGTGAAAACCAAAATGTGCTAGTTCACCGCTAGTGAGGAAACTCTCGGACCAAATCATCACATTTCATAATTGAATTTAGGATGATGTTGATGATCACCATTAAACATTGCCAATCTGGTATCCCAGAACCGATAGGCACTCGGTATCATATCCAGCAGATTGAACACTGGCTTAGAACTGTTTATGTGTGTAAGAAGGGATATCACCGTCTGAAAACTCAATTTTCATCACCGTTTGTTCGGTTTACACTTCCCGAGACCTGACATGAAAAAGGAGTTCAATTCGAATTTCAGTTGTCTTCCCTAGTAGACGAATGCATAGTAAATCAAACACTCATCAAAATCCCTTCAGAATGTAGTTTGTAGCCTCGACCGTTTAGATTTGATTACTTCATTGAAGGACAAATTTTGTATGTACCGTATCACAGGTTGGTTCTCTGCTACGAAGTTACCTTGACTGTCGTTTGACTGATCAACCACAAGTTATTCTTTGCTATTACAAATTAATTTTGTCGTGTCATAGCTTTCACCGCTTTTAACGTTCCACAGAACATCCGTTACGGAAAGATCATGCAACTAGAGTGAGCGCAAATGGAGTGGGCCGTTTTCACGAATCGTTTTGTGCGTCATATTAAGTGAAAGTGTACGAGATAACTGGTGGTCCAATGAGGATTGTCAGGATATGCTCATTTGTGCTTGTTCTGGACCTCCAAACGTGATCAAGGGCTAACCGCACGTCCCAAGCCGGGGTCAGAACAAATCAGTACAGTTAGAAATAATCCCATCGGCTGAGAAGGGTGGGATAGCAATACTTATTCATA